AGCCGACGGTGATGGCGACGTTCAACGGAGACTTCTTCGATTTTCCGTTCCTTTATGCGCGTGCGAAGGTGCATGGCATCGACATGTTCCTTGAGACCGGCTTTGCAAAGGATTCGGAGGATGAGTTCAAGAGTCGTTGCTGCGTCCACATGGATTGCTTCCGCTGGGTGAAACGTGATTCGTACTTGCCCCAGGGTAGTCAGGGCCTGAAAGCTGTCACGACGGCGAAGTTAGGGTACAACCCCATTGAGCTCGACCCGGAATTAATGACTCCGTGAGTATCTATGCCTCTCTTCTGATAGCCGTGGTGGCTGATCCCTTGCCGCAGGTATGCAATGGAGCAGCCGCAAACACTCGCTCAGTACTCAGTCTCCGACGCCGTTGCGACGTATTACCTCTACATGAAATACGTCCACCCCTTCATCTTCTCCCTTTGCAACATTATTCCATTGTGTCCGGACGAGGTACTGAGGAAGGGAAGTGGGACACTCTGCGAGACGTTGCTGATGGTATGAGTATTTATATCTGGCGGTGACTTCTTGCTGACGTCTTCCTAAGGTTGAGGCATTCCGTGGCCAGATCATCATGCCAAACAGACACGAAGAAGAGCACGGGAACATGTACGACGGTCATCTACTCGCTTCAGAGACCTACGTCGGAGGGCACGTAGAGGCCCTTGAAGCCGGTGTCTTCCGTAGTGATATTCCGACGGAATTCAAAATCGAGCCAACCGCAGCCCAGAAGGTACGATATTTGAATATCGTGATGTGCTGTGACCGACATTGATCACTTCATATTAGCTCATCGACGAGCTTGATGCCGCCCTCAAGTTCTGTATCGTCGACGAATCAAAAGCGTCCCTCGAAGACGTGACCAACTACGACGAGGTCAAGGGCCAGATCCAGGCCGCGCTGGAAGAGATGCGTGACAATCCCATGCGCATAGACAAGCCGCTGATCTACCATCTGGACGTCGCGGCCATGTACCCGAATATCATGTTGTCTAATCGTCTACAACCTGACTCGGTTGTGGACGAGGCCGTATGTGCTGTCTGCGACTTCAACCGGCCCGGGAAGTCGTGCGATCGGCGGATGACATGGGCCTGGCGTGGCGAGTTCTTCCCTGCGCGCCGGGACGAGTTCAACATGATCAAACACGCGTTGAACCAGGAGACGTTCCCTCCGAAGAAGCCGGGGGGCCCTCAGCGGAAGTTCGTCGACCTCACTCCGGCGGAACAGACGGCTCTGCTGCACAAACGTCTTGGCGATTATTCGCGCAAGGTGTACAAGAAGATCAAGGACACTAGGATCGAGAACCGGGAGGCGATTATCTGCCAGCGCGAGAATCCCTTCTACATCGACACTGTGCGTCGCTTCCGTGATCGGCGATACGAGTACAAAGGCCTCCATAAGACATGGAAGAAGAACCATGACACTGTCATAGCGGAACAGCGCTCGATCGCCGAGGTCGACGAGGCCAAGAAGATGATCGTTCTTTGACTCTTCAGCTCGCCACAAGTGTATCCTCAATTCGTTCTCGGATCGTCACAAGTGCTCATCCTCAATTCGTTCTACGCGATACGTCATGCGCAAGGGTGCTCGGTGGCACTCAATGGAGATGGCAGGAGGTATCACTTGCCTGACGGGCGCGACGATCATCCAGATGGCCAGGCAACTCGTCGAGCAGATTGGCCGTCCTCTCGAGTTGGACACTGACGGCATCTGGTGCATGCTTCCTGGTGTCTTCCCGGAGAACTTTCAGTTCCAACTGGCGAATGGCAAAACGCTTGGCATCTCTTACCCTTGTACAATGCTCAACCACCTCGTCCATGCACAGTTCACGAACCATCAGTACCACGACCTCGATCTCGAGACCGGCGAGTACAAGGTCCACAGCGAGAACTCCATCTTCTTCGAGCTCGACGGTCCCTACAGAGCGATGATCCTGCCGTCTTCGAAGGAGGAGGACAAGTTGCTCAAGAAGCGTTACGCCGTCTTCAATGACGACGGCTCTCTCGCGGAACTCAAGGGGTTCGAAATGAAGCGTCGTGGCGAGTTGCAGCTCATCAAGATCTTCCAGTCGCAGATCTTCGAGCGATTTCTGCTCGGCGAGACTACCGAAGAGTGCTATGCCGCTGTCGCCCAAATCGCGGATCGCTGGCTAGACGTTCTGTTCAGCAAGGCAGAGAACCTTCCCGACGAAGAGCTGGTCGAGCTCATTGCCGAGAACAGGAGCATGTCGAAAACGTTGGCGGAGTATGCGGGTCAGAAATCGACGTCCATCAGTACTGCGAGGCGTCTCGCCGAGTTCTTGGGCGACCAGATGGTGAAGGACAAGGGTTTGGCCTGCAAGTTCATCATCTCCGCACGTCCCCAAGGTGCACCGGTCACTGATAGGGCTGTTCCAATCGCGATCTTCTCGGCAGAAGATAGTGTGAAGCAGACCTATCTCCGCAAGTGGTTGAAAGATAACAGCCTCACTAACTTCGACATCAGGTCAATTCTGGACTGGAACTACTACATCGAACGTCTGGGGTCTGTCATCCAGAAGCTCATTACCATCCCCGCGGCTATGCAAAAGGTCGTCAATCCGGTCCCTCGTAATCAAGCACCCCGACTGGCTGCACCGACGAGTGGTCGCGAAGGATGACAAGTTCCGGCAGCACAAAGTTACCGAATTTTTCAAGGCGAAGGCGGACGACGGGATACCGTCTAATGACATCGAGGACACAGGCACCCAGGTATCTGACAACGGCAGATTGCGTTTGGCTGTCGTCACTCGGAAGCCTCCACCACGGGAGGATACCCCGGAGCCAACCGAGGAGGCGCTGGATCTCCCTGATCCGTCGGTGGACTACCGCGGCTTCATCACAAGCTTGGGTGCTGTCTGGAGGCGTCGGGCAAGAGGGGAGGCCACCACGACCGTGCCAAAGATGTTCAAGGGTGTCCAGCCTAAGACGCCAACGAACTCTCCGTGGGATATCGTTCAGATCCGGCCAACGAGGATTCCCGGCCGGTTCGCTATGTGGCTATCATCTGGGAGCGATCTGATCTCCATTCCCCTGCGCATTCCGCGGGAGTTCTACATCCACCTCCGCACTCCAGCGAAGGCGGGCAGTTCAATAGGGACATGTATACAAGTGAGAAGGTCATCCGCGGATTGCCCCGAGATAGGCCATGCATCAACTTGTACAAGCTCTCTGTGCGCGAGGAGACATACATCGATGGTCAGGAGCATTTCATCGACTTGACGAATGATCCGAACGTGGATGGTGTGTTTGAGATGCAGGTGCGTCCTTAACCTTGAACGTACACTCGTCTCTTGTGTTTTACTCAATGGCTGCCTCAAGTTACCTCTCGACATGCGAGCCTTGCTCCTGCTAGGCAAGACATGCAAGTCGAACGTTCCTGGATGACTCTCAACAAGGCGGAAACGATCGGCTTCGACCTGGGCGAGCTTGACCGGGTGATCACAACCTCGACTAAGCACAAGTATCTCAACGAGGGACGGGATGGGAAGTACATCTTCCTGTACCACATCTGCTCCAATAACGCGCCAATACACGTCTTCGTCCTGTTTGTGCCTGGCAAACAAGTTCGATTGCACATCGTCGATCCTGCCACCGACGGCAGCCGATCCCGCGGCTCACTGAGGCCTACAGCGATGCATACGCCAAACGGCAGCAAACGAACGGCGCCAGCGTGGCCTACTCCTACCCAGCTTCCTGTGACTTCATAAGCGCCTACCATAGGACAGACGTAGCGGCGCTAAAGGCAATCTCTATCGAGCTGGGTACAATGGAGAAGGATCCTTATACAGTCGTCATCTCCTCCAGCAAAGAGCAAACGTACTTCGACGCGTACGTCCCGAAACTGGCGAAGTTCCCTGTCTTGTCCATGCCAAAGACGAAGACCACGCATACGTTGGACGCGCTCCCATGGCAGAAGAACGTCGCACAGAAGATAGCCTTTCGTTACCTGTCCTTGGGCACCTGGTTGGACCGCACAATCGCACTCGCTGACTACTACGACATTCCCATCGGGTACATCGATGGCGACCAGCCCCTACGCCTTGCCGACGTTGACTTCGCTCGCAGGCTGACGGAACACGACTTCGTTTTGTGGTGGTCGCCCGGGAATCGTCCGGACCTCGGAGGAAGCGAAGAGGACGATCGGCCCGAAGAGGAGCTGCCAAAGACAGAGTTCATGTCCTCCGGCTGCTATTCCAACGTCTGCCTGGAGATTACCGTGCGTAACCTGGCCGTCAACTCTGTGCTGCACTCCATGATGGTCAATGAGCTCGAGGGCGCGGGCGGGGCGACGGCGTTCGACTCCTCGCGCACGCTGGACGAGTACTCCAGCGCAGACACGCAGCGCGACCTGACCCTCGGCGACTCGAACGTCTCCCCGCAGATGTTCTCGATCCTCAAGAACATGGTGAAGACGTGGTTGCTGGACAAGATTCAGGGCCACTTTGGTAGCCCGTCGGCGATCGCGATCGACCACTTCTGGCGGTGGATCAGCTCTAAGGCGTCGTGCATGTATGACCCGAGTCTGCATCGCTTCATTCACGGCCTCATGCGCAAGACGTTCATCCAGATGCTCGCGGAGTTCAAGCGTCTGGGCTCGCATGTTGTCTACGCGGACTTGAGCAGGATCCTACTCGTCACATCTAAACCACCCGGGACCGCACATGCCTACGCTACGTACATCACGACCGCTGTGACCTCGCACGAACTGTTCCAGCACGTCTACCTGCGCACGGAGCGCTTCTACGATTTCTTGTTGTTCATAGACCAAGCGAACCTCGGCGGCGTCGTATGCGAGGACCCGCTCGCGATCGATCCGCCCGAGGAGATCTGCATCGAGATGCTATGGAACATCGAGACCTTCTTGCCTCCAGCCATCCAGCGCGACTTCCGGAACGTCGTGCGTTTCTTCCTGGTAGAGCTCTTTCGAACGTGCCAGAAGACGCGAGGAACGAGTAGGGGCCCACTGCGGATTCTGCCCAACGGCGCGCCGGATGCCACCCAGCGCGACGTGGTCAAAACGCAAGAAGTCGAAGCAAGCCGTGACTTCATCTCCCGCAAGCTGACGCGCAAGCTCCTCAAGGCCGTGGGCAGCATTCAAGACCGCTACCGGGAAGCAGTGATGGACGAGGAGGCTCTGGCACAGTGGGAGTTCCCGGTATTGCCTGGGTCGCACCTCAATCTGACGAACCCAATCCTTGAGTTTGTCAAATTTACCTGTGCAGTTTTTGCGCTCGCGAAGGAGAACCAGATCGAGATTGACCTGCTGAAACGCAACCTCCTCGAGCTCGTCGGCGTCCGGGAATTCGCGAGCGAGGCTACCTTCCACAACCCCTGCCAGCCCCTCATCCTGTCGAACGTCCCTTGCCGACACTGTGACGCACTGCGGGACTTCGATTTCTGCAGAGACCCGGCGCTTCTGCCGAATAATCTCGAGCTCAAGGCACGGTGGCTCTGTGGTAATTGCGGCGGCGAGTACGATCGCACGATGGTTGAATTCGCTATGATGGACACCATATGGGACCTCGAACGACGATTCGCCCAGCAAGATCTCCGATGTACGAAGTGCAGACGCATACGATCTGACAACCTCTCGCGACATTGCCCGTGCTCTGGCAGCTATCAGCTCACTATCAACAAGGCTGATGTGCGTCAAAAGCTGCGGACCATCGTCAATGTAGCAATAGCCCACAACCTATATCGTTTGAAGGTATGTCCAATTCTTCGTGATATGAGTCGTGCATCCGCTCACTGCCCCTTGACGATAGGACTGCTCGCAAACAATTCTTACACATTGGTAGCCGCACCTTGTTCATCTCCGCTCTCGACGTCGTCGCTTTCGTGTTGCATCATGATATGTATTCTACCTGTATCATTATTCCCGAGTCGCCTCCAGAGTCTAATCATACCAGCACAGTCAATGGAGCTCTTCGATTGAATGAAACTTCGATACTATGGTGGGTGAGCCTAATGTCGAGGGTTTGGGTTGCGCATCATTCAGTTCGGCGATATCCCACCTGCAGCCAGCCTTGCAAGTCCAAGCGATGGGTATACTAGTAGGTACCAGTTGGTAAGCCTGGGAACTTCACACAATGGTCCTCTGGGGCCGTTGAGCTCGAGACTGAACCTTCGTGTATGTAGCGCGACGCACTGGCATTTGAACGGTCAAACTGGTGATACTCAGACGTGTCATAACTTATGGCGAAACCTAGCTCAGACCTCTGTCTACACCGTGAGTCCTCCGTTGTCATCACTGAGACACTACTAACTCCAGCGACTTCAGATGATGATTGCGGCGCCGGTGCCACCACTCCTTGCCTTGCTGACTGAGGGTGCGTGCGACCACACACCGCTATCCACGTGCTTCTGTGACCAAAGGAAGCTTAGATAGGGCACTGCGCCTCAGTCAAAGACCTTCGCGCCACCTCATGTCGGATACGTCTTTGGATAATGCCGTCGCCACAAACTCACAACACTTCAGGCAGTCCCATTCGTCATCATCTCGGCGCGGGCTACAGAATGCTCGCTCACCGCACTCCCAGCTACGAAACATCCCTTCCGGGAGCAGGAGGAGCTCCAACGCATCCCTATCGTCTGGTGCAGCGGGCTGTACCAACACTCTTAGCAGCCACCTCAGCTCCCTACGTTTGACATGGCAGGCGGACACGTTGAGTACGCTGGAAAGCTATCCCAGCACTTTTACATACACGCCCACCTCCGCCGTTCCGATATCGTCTTCCACACGGTCTGCATCCAGGTCGGGCAGCGAAATCGCCCGGTCTACAACAACGCCAAGCCACTCTGAATACGTCACTGCACGGTTACCTTCAGACGTGTCCTATCGCTCATTCTCTCCGTTTCTTAGAAGGTCCTCAGATCGCGGGAGCGTGGTATCACATGCAACGGAGTGCGATTATATGGCACCGCACATGGCAGAACCTCCTACTTCTGCGTATGAGACTATGGGTATTTGCTCTAGTACTGCAGGCTCCAGAACGACTGAAGGCGTCTCGGCCAAGGTACATATACGGAATCCGACTCGAGGCACGACAAAAAGGACACTGCAAGCATCATCCATTCGGACTCATCACACGTTCCCCAAGGTGCGCTGGAGGAGATCGCGCTGGAAGGCGTTCCCTTACCTGGCTCGATGTCGATCTCGCCAGTGGCAGGTGTGCACTCGATAAGCCATGGAGAGGGTGATAATACGCCCACTTCATTTCCTGTCGAGCTTCACGACGACGACCCCTTTCCAGAACGACCTCCATCGCCCCTCCATTCCCCAGTGTTCTTGCCCCTGTCCCCTACAAGCCCATCTGTATCTCGGATTGCACTCGAACCGACAGAACTCTTCCAGCACGCATCCACAACATCCTTTTTCTCCCTGACCACGTTCGAAGACTCTCTTTCTCCGGCGGGATCCTTCACTCCCCCGGTATCTACCCTGTCTTCCGTCAGCTCAGTCACATCAACTGACCTCACACCGACTGGGGTGCCCACGAAATCTGTACCCTCCTTATCCGGCTCTCTGTACAGACCACCGATCTCGGAACCCCAGGCTGTACTGCAATGGGGATTGGAGACGGATGGGGCTTACGAATCGTCCATCCTTGGGGCGTCCATATCCACTCAGTCGCTGCCGATCGCAGAGGGGGTCGACACAACCTTCGAGACGTCGGTCCTACGGCCAACAGACTTATCCGAAGAGTTGTCGGGAGGTGTCAGCCCGCCAATCCTCGCAATGGAAGGCAAAGTCGTGACAACACCGGATGTATCTTCTCCTTCACCATCTCCGTCAATCTCATTGACCCCGGAAGTACCCTTGCAGGGTGCTGTTCCGTCGATTCGTACTCCGTCGTCTATATCCTACCCTACCAACATCTCAACGCGCAGTCTCACGCCGACGGAGAGAGAAAGTCCGACAGTTACAGTCATGCGCACGCTGTCTACAGTGACGACGGTATCATCTGTGCCTCTCAGTCCCTTCGCTGTGCCAACCCGCTCTCCCACACCGTCTGCTAGACCGTCAACACAACCATCCCTCTTGTCTACACATGCTTCTCCCATCTATGTCCCCGTACGTCTCTGCTGGGCTATGTTGTGCATCTGTCGATATGGCATGCTCACTTTTTGTGTCAGGCTTCACTACCAACCATTCCCTCTGAGTCATCTCCGTCTTCGTCCGCGGGAATCGGTCCCCCGGTGGACACATCGCCGCCCGCGGTCACCATGGCAGTCGAAGGATCTCCTGGTACTGCGTACACCCCTCCCAGCCCATCAATGTATCTCAGTGTCACCACACCGCACGGCGATACGCCGTCCATCGCGTCTCTTCTGGAGACCATACCTTCGGAAACTCCGGAAAGGCTGCCCAGACGCGACCTCAACAGCATATGGGAGTGTATCCGCGAGATGGAAATACGCCGACGAGCAGAGAGCACCGAACTAGCGAGTAGCCTCCAGGGCGTCCGTGATCTAGCTGAGTCGCTTCGGGACCGTCGGCGTGAACATCTCGATGTCAATATGCATGGCCGCGGTGTCCCGCTCCGAGCAGATGCGAGAGTCCCCCCTTCATCTCTTCGTAGGGTGCCACAGAGGATACCTGGAAGGAGAGTTCTTCCACCCAGCTACTCGTGCGCACCTGGATAACGTACGTCACCCTCATTGTGATTGCATCCTGTGCAACCTCAGCTAAATGGAGTGATCTCTTGGCGTAACGCAGAACCTCACGCTCGTCGCTGCGCGCGGCAACGTTATGCGTAATATCTTGTTACTAGAGGAAGTAGTACTCACAAATGCGCCGCTCCCAGAGACAAACCACCCCGCTAGCCTTCATCGTCATTTGTACTCCTTTGTAGGAGGTCTTTGCTGGCAACACTCGGCCAGCCGACATCGTCTGACTCTACGAATCCTTGTGACTTGTCGGGGTGATTCACGACAGGCTATGATCGTGGTCAACCGACTCGGAAGCTGTGGCTTGGACAATGGCCTCCCTTTCCCCCTGCTTTCTGATACTAGAAGCAAACACTATCTAGTTTCATAGATTGAACAGACAGGGACGTGTTGAAAGACTTCAAGTGTATCTGGATTTTGCGTAGAGATCAGATGGAAAGAACCTTATCCGCGCGTGCGGTCACGGTGTGACTTGCGTTATGTTTCGCGTCTGTGACTCTGTGTGACGACAGTCTAAGACCCATTCAGTGGAGCTAGCCACTGGTCAACCACAGGTCATCCGGATTTGGCAGGTCCTGTGGAATGTATCGGGGGGCGGCCACTACACTGTACGTCGCGGATATTGTAACTTCCCGCGAAGGCTTGTTGCACCTGGAAGCACCGGAGAGGAACTGTAGCATACGGCTACGACTTTCTCGAGAAGGTGAAACTGGTGTTCCTGTTATACTACAGGTACAGCCCGAGCACAATCGGAGCGGCCACAACGTACATGCTCTCTCAACTGGGCAAGTCAGTAACTGTCCGCGCTCTTATACAACACGATGACCTCCAGATTTCGGAGAATGGATTACAGCGGTAGCCTATCACGGCATACAGATAGACGAGCAGGAGTATAACCGAGATACACAGCATGCAATGGTACAGCTAGAAGATGCAACAGAAACACTGGAGAAGACACTAAGTAGTAGCAGAGACAACGAAATCAGGTATCGAGTATACGAGGTATCGAATTACAAAGCGGGTGAGTCAAGTCAGTACAAGATATGGATGGGTTGTACAGTCAGTTAAACAAAGCAGTGACAACGATGCAGAGCGTGCACGAAAGCAGGTGCGACGGCCATGGAGAGCGCCGGGGACACGATCCTAGAGATAGATACATACCCACCAGCGGTTCGCCACACCGTGACGACGACGAGGCCTCTGTCCGCATTCAGAGGTAGGGATCAGCGGCGTTGAACGCCTTATAAAAGTCGTCCGCCAGCCAGGTTTGTCGTTCGAGCTCCCCAATCTCCGAGTACTCTACCAGGGCCTCGTCGAAGCCGTAGGCCGCTGGTATAGGGTCAACCGACACCTTGTCGCCGTCCCGCGGAGCGTCGTCCACAGGCTTCGCGAACACGGTCATCTTCTCGGAGAGGGTTGAAGCACCAGCGGGATCTGCGTCCCCTTCGTTCCCTGCGGTACTGGAAGGGGCAGCGGCGTTGAATGCCTTAAAGAAGTCGTCCGCCAGCCAGGTTAGTCGTTCGAGCTCCCCAACCTGCGAGGACTCTACTAGGGCCTCGTCCAAGTCGTAGGACACCGGTATAACGTCAGCCGACACGGTGCCGTCCCGCGGAGCGTCGTCCACAGGCTTTGCGAACAAGGTCGTCTTCTCGGAGAGGGAAGCGCCAGCGGGATCTGCGTCCCCTTCGTTCCCTGCGGTACTGGAAGGGGTTACCGGGTCGAACTCACAGAGTGTCGGTGAGTTAGAGGTTGAGGACCCGGTGATTGTAGTACCCTCCCCGAAAATCGTATCCTCAGCCTCATGAACATCATGAAGGAGAATGTTAGAGCCTGAGAGGATGCGGTGGGACGGCACGGGGACGCTGGTGTCCCGAGGAGCGCAGTTGACAGCATTCTCAGGCTGCACCGGCAGGCTCGAGTGCTCGGCTTTGCGCGGAGCATGCTGAAGCGCGACCTGGGAGGATGCCCCATCGACGGTCACGTTCGGAGAAGGTGTTTGGGTCTTCAGACTCGGAGAACCTGAGGGCAGCGCGACCGCGGGCTTCGGTCGTATGGCTCGAGGTGCTTTGACGACCGGGGAGGGCAACTGTCTGGGCTCCTCTGGTTGACCTTGCGGGATTGCTACGTCCGTCGGCTGGCCGTCTTCGGAGAACTGGACACTCATGAATGTCCACTGATTGGGGGGCTTTGTGGCTGCGTCTGCCTTCTGCTTTTTATTTTGGGACCCCCGTTGACGGCTAGACTCGGGCCTCCGCTTGTTACCTCCCGACTCCGCTTGACGGCGACCGTTGTTTGCATCGGTGGTCGCTAGTGTAGCGGAAGCACTGCCGCCGGCTTGGGTTGACCCTTCGGCTACCGGACCTGCCTGTTCAATGGGCTGGTGCATACTAGTAGTCCGTCCAAGTTCGGCTTTGGAGGAACGCGCAGGCAAGGGATTGACACGCCGCCTTGGGACCGGACGCCGCGTCAATGTGGCCGTCGCCGGAGTGCCCATTGAAGGGCTGCCAGTGGCTGGAGCGAGGCGGGCAGGGAGTGCTGGAAGGATTGGCAATGAGAAAGGATTAGGAGCCGGCGCCTGAATCGACCTGTGTGGTAGGCTATATGGTGTCCCAGTGAGGATTGGTCCATACGGTCAAAGCGTCGACAACACTCACGGACGGGATCCAAAATGAAATGTAGGCGCTGCGGCCGCAGGACTGAGATGGTGGGCCGTACTACGAAGCAGGCTAGAGTTAGGTTGACCCTTTCAATGAACCGTCTTATGGCTTACCGTAGATCGAGAGCGTCGCCAGCCACAGCGAGGTCTGCCGTGGATGTGGATGTGGACGGCATAAAGGACCGATTGGTAGACGGAGGCATGGGCCCTTGTCGCCTGGGGGGTACCGTCCAATCTTGGACAAGGGGGCTGTGGCCGCTGTGTCAGGTGTGGCACCCGGTCAAAGCGTCACAAAGACTTACTCGTTGTAACGCGCATTGTTGTTCATCGTGGCTTAGGGAGTAGGGAGGTCTTTTGTGGGCAGGCGTGGGGCCGGAAGATGAAAGGGAGGTGGTGGTCGGAAGTGAGGGGGGTCGCAGGCGCGCGTGGTTTGTTTAAGGGCGGGCCACCAGAGAAGCGGCTGGACCCGAATTCAACGCGCAAAGCCCAGCGCGGCCACGGGCCACGAGTCGCGTGACCGTGTTACATCACGCAGGGGGCCCCTGCTTCGCCTTCCTTCCCGCTGTGGCTCCCCTCTGTCCTGTGTCGCGTTCTGCACAGTGAGCAAAGCAGTGCGTCAATCCGCTAGTTACCATACCTGCAGACAAGATAGGTGCGTGTGTACTTACCTTGTCTCAAACGTCTTGTGGCCGGACAGAGTCGGGTTTCTGGACGTGCCTGCGTCTCGATCCTCTAAGGATCTCACAGGTCTTCAAGCTGTCGTAGTGGAAGACCTGTGGAGACAGGTCATGAGTGGTTATTCGGCAATTGCACGCAAGCGGAGACTCACGTTTCGCGACTGTTTGCATTCGTAACGGGACATCCTGGCTACCATACACGTCTCGAGCAGTGCCAACTGGCCGACGATCACCCGTTACCGCATGTAATTTGCCGGAGCATTGGCGTCGTCCCTCGTATGCCTATCTGTTGATGAACATGCACTAACGTCATAAGGCGGGAGACAGGGTATCTCGTACACTTCTCGCGCTCGGGCAAGGCCGTGACCCCGCCCTACTAGTGCCCATACTTCATGAGTGATTTGCGAGTCCTAGCCAACGCAACCCGAGTACCATTACAACTCACCAAAGTTTCCACTCCCTATGGTGGAGTATACCTTTGGACATGTATTCAAGTTGCGGGATACAAAGGATGAGCTGAGGGCTGTACCAAGGTTCTGCTATATTTCGGTCGCCCTCCACACGTGTAACAGCGATTTACTTCTGCGGCGATCGAGTCGTCGAAGGTCCTGCCATTCTGTGCCTGACCGGTATAGTGAATACCACGTCTTCAGCTCGCAAGTATGCCAAATTCTTCCCTAGACGTTCATGACTGATCAGTTCAACTCCAAGGCCAATCTGCGACTCAAAGCGCAACGTCAGGACATGCGATGCGTGGGCCAAAAGAACCAAGTCGCTTCGTTTATTGCGCCTTCATGTGTTGAGTCGAGAGACGCGGCCAAACCATTCAGTTCTTGTCATCACGCCGCTGCGATACATCAGGAGGTGCTTACGAGCGGTCTCCGGTTGAAGTGTTTCGCCCCGAACTGTGCAGAGCTACACAGTATATTTTAGTACGCCATGCTGCCTGGAGGAGAAACACCGACTCACCACTGAATCATTGTCACGTCTTGAGTACCGTACCGACTACCGAGAACCTGTTCTGCCTGTCGGCCTTCAAGTTGACCGTCGAATGTGCCTCAGATCTTTTGTTCTTGACGATGCGATCTATGCTTGGAGGGGTATGTAGAGTCCGACGCTAAATTCCAGAAAAGTGTGATATCAGGAACCTGAATGCGGGCCTGCAAAGGTGTTAGGAGGCCCTGGGGTTCGTGTCGCAAGCTCCGGGGTGTTATGTATGTACTGAGGCGCGTAGCAAATGACTCCCAGTCTTCACAAAGATTATGGCGTTGAGACGGCTCGTTGAGCAAAAGAATGGTATATAGAGCGTCGCTGTACAGTAACAATGTACACCGTCAGTAGTGCTGTACCGTGACAGCCGCGAAGGCCGGGATGGTGACGGTCACAATGCTCGCAAAAGCGCGGCACTGTGACCTGCGTTATGTTTCGCGTTTGTGACGCTCCGTGACGACAGCCTAGGACGCGCCGTCCGACTTCAACTTGCGTCCGACCTCCCTTTCCGGCCTCCTCCTGGATCCTCCAACGAAGTTCATGCTCCTTGAGCTCCCTCAGTCTACCCTTGGTCTACGCTGCTCACTGCAATATCCATGTTCTGAGTTCTCCTCAAATTGAAGCGGGACTGCTGTGGATTGGTCAACGGCCACTGCGGTTGGCTTGTCCCAATGTCCAATATTGCTGTCCAATCCATTGTTTGCATGGGCATCTGTTGTTTGTCTCCTGTATGCTGTGGATCGACAACTATGTCCTCGTGGTTGGACCCCGCACCGGTGAACCTCACGTTCGTCGAACTCGACACAGGGTAGTCCCGAACGCGACAGGCTTCTCGGATAGGCCTGGCAGGTGCGACCCTGGCAACGGGCACCCTCGAATGAGCGGCGGTCCTTGGAAGCTGACGTCGTCCAAATATCCACGCATCGTTGCGCGGGGCTCAACCAGGTGGACTCGGCTTTCAACCGTTGATGAGCTGATTGTCCGGACACACACGGCAGTCTGTGTGCAGATGTTCGGACATAGAAGCTATCTATCTGAAGTGTGTTCGGAGTTCGCCGCCCATCAAATGCCCTCTATGCCCACTTCTGTCCGCTGTCTGTGGCTAGCATCATATTCTAGGACACAGTTGGGCGAGGCGTCCGGGTACCGATGACAGCCAATATGCAATGGTCGGGCAAGTGCGTGCGTAGCTTATTGATGTCTGTACCCGGATTCGGTGACCACATTCGATCGGAAGACTTCCGTCTATGCGCCCACCTTTCACGTCACTGACGCGTCGCAGGTTCATCGGCTCAATCACGCGCAACCGGCGGTTCGTCAAGTCGTACTCCGCCATGTCCATCGTCCTCTTCACCGCGTCGCTCGTCTCCTCGGGGCTCTTCCTCTGGACGCTCTACACGGAGAAGAACCTCACCACGGACTGCGTCGTGTCGAACGCGAACAACAACATCACGATCGACCAGTGCGACACGCACGTCAGCAAGGCGGGCAAGATCATCATCACCGTGGTCCTCTCTGTCCTGATACTCGTCCACCTCTGCGAGTCCCACTACCGAGCGCGTTTTGCGGGAATATGGGTCGCTGACACCGCTGCAGACATCGTGGTCGTGATTCGGCGGTACGTCGAGCAGCTGGAGGACGAGAGTGACCTCTGGCAGGGCCCGTACAAGCTCACGACGACGGACATCAACCAGAGCCTGATGCAGACGAATGTGCCCTACCCGTACGCCGACGGGTTGCACTCGTACGGCAACGCATAAGCGTGCCCTCTGCGTTTCTGTTCTGCCATGCTCCGCCCAGGAGCGCGGCGGCCTCCCGCCCGCTACGGACACCGCTGATCTGTACTGTAGGACGTGTCGTTCCGTACATAGTAGCTACTGTACATACCCGCCGATGTACTAAGCGTCACGCTCTGCACGCCTATGCTCGCTATTTATCTTACCTGCCCCCTTGCTGTAGCGCTTACCATTTGGATTTTGGGGTCGAAATACAAAACGTCCCGGCATTCATTTCTTACAGTTGCGAGTCTGAGACGGGAGATTGGATCGCACTTCCGTTCCGGTGAGCGGCGAGCCTAACGCGAGCGGGGTCAGCCACGATTCATCCGGATTTGGCAGGTCCTGTGGAACGCGGCCAGTGGCACCAGTTGGCCTAGTCTCGATTCAAGACCCTCCACGCGGCCTCTCACGTTCACGCGTGGGGTTTGTGTCGAACCTACCAGTTGGCCGAGCCTGTGGAACGAACATAAAGAGTCTGATGCACCACTAGAACTCCAGAATACACGGTCATTAGTAGGGAAACACAGTGACAGTACAACAAGGCAATACGATACAAAGACAACGCTTACAGAGGACAGCACTAGCAGGTGGATAGGTATCAAATGCACGAGGGTATGGAGATATGTAGAGAAAAGCGATGATACCAATGCAGATGTGCGCGCAAGCAGGTGGGATAGCGAGAGATAAAATACGAAAGCGATGTTTTGAGGGGATAGGGAAGGCGATTCCCCCCAGGAGCAGATACGAACCGATTACGGGTACCGTGCCGGAGCGAGGTATGAAGCCTGTCCTCCCACGCGAGCCCGCGCTCAGAGGTAGGCAGTAGCCTCAAACCCCTGCAAGAACTCAACTGACAACCACGCCGCCTCTTTGATGTCAACGATCGAGTGCGCGGATGACGGGGAGGCACTTCTGGGGTCGACGTTCTCCGTGTTCGTCGCGGTTGAGGGTATCGCGAGGGCGTACTCCGACTCGGAGCCAGGCTCACAGGACTCTGGTGTGGTGGAGGTGGGCGACCAAGCACTGCTCTCGTCCGAGTTGTTGAAGTTAAAGCGCAAGCTTGCTGTAGGACCCGACTGTGAGTCAGAGAGGATGCGTTGAGCCGGGGCGTTCATTTGGGCATTCAGCTCTGCGAAGAACACATCGTCCAGCACAACAGCGGGACTGGTAGGGTTGAGCATGGCATTGGCAGGGAGACCACCAAAGGATACGAAGGCGCCGCCGAGGGGGTCATTGGCGACAGAACCGTACGACCAATCAGCCCGGTGGAATGGGAGGCTGTCAACGGTGTTCTCGGCCAAGAGCTGGTGGATGGACGGGTCGAAATTCCACTCCGCTACCTCCGCGCTGCCAAAGGGCAACGGCGGGTCAACCCGAGAGGCCCCTTGCGTTATACCGGCAGAAGGTCCGGCACTGACGTGAGTGTTCTGAATCGCTTCCCCGCGGATACCCTGCCAGTGGACCGGCACCATCGAGCGCTCGGCCTCGAGGGGAGCATGCTGGAGTGCCCTCAGAAAGAATGGCTCGTCCACGGGCACCTGGGGGGTAGATCCACTCGCGGCGCTCAAAGCGGGCGACGCGTCCTCGGGCCTATGTAGGTCGAGCTCGTAGGTGTCCGGTGAGAACGAGTGTCTGAGCTCCTCTGGCTCGTCGTCATCGTCTGGAATGCGTACAATTCGGCGGGTACCCTCAACATCAAACTCGACGCTGAAGAGTTGCAGTTTCTGAACGGGAGGATTAGCCCCTGCGTCCATCTTGTGCTCGGGGCCCGCGCTGTGTCGCCAAGATCCGTACGCCACGCCGTCGCTGGCGTTGGGTCCCGTGTTCGTTGGTGTAGCGGTTGTGGCGCTGTCGGACGCGGAAGCATTGCTATCCGCTTCGAATGTTGTACCATCCTGTATTGTAGGCCGGTATCCTTTGCGTCTATGATCAATGCGAGTTAGAATCTGTCACAAAAGAAATCAGTTGCACTGACTGAAGGCAGCCCCGTATGTGTCTCCGCATGCTCCGCCTCGACTTGGATAGAGTACTATTGCAAGAACGGCAACTCCAGAGCCCCTCATCCCCATGCTTATCAAGGATGTGCCGGATCTTTGATTGCTCCTTTGCTGATCGTTTTGTGTCCGAGCTCTTCTGGCCTGTCTTGCAGCCAGGCCACGGACAGAAGTCGAGAGGGACATCGTCGAGGACATACCCACCATCAGGGCGGGCGTGATGCTCTTTCAGATGTCTTCTGATGTCTTGCGTCGTCGATTGAATCCCAGTCCTGCAATCCTGGATCCCACAGCTGAAAGCTTGTGGTCCACGTACGCATTCCAAATGCTTGCTGACGTCCTTGTCTGATATCTGGCTAGACATTTGGATGGCTTCTTCGATAGGCATCGTTGATGGCTCTATGCGTCGCCTTTTGGCGGGATGCGCCGGTGCCGCTGTCAGCGGCTTGCCCGTAGCGGGGTCGACCGTCGAGGGGGCAGCAATAACGGGGGGAGCCCGTATCGCAAAGGATGTAGCAGGGGCCGGTGTAGGCGGGTACAGTGGCCGCAATCGTTTGCCACGGATGCTGTCGAGTCCCAGTCAGGGTGACACAAAGGTCAAAGCATCGCCAAGACTCACCTGGCGGAGAATGTAGAACCGAACCCTGTTTCTCCTATCTCACCCTCCACATCAGTCGAATTGTAATCTTCCGCAGGGTATAGTGGCGCTATGGCCACAGGTGTTGAAAGGTGGGATTGGCCGGGGACGTCGTCCGCGCTATGGGACTACACTCAGGTCGGCCACCTTGATGAAGCATCTCATAACGTACCGTGCATGATAATCATAGCCAGCTGTAGCGGCACTTGCTATCGAAGCGGGCGGTACGAAAGACGGGCGGACGGACGATGGCATAGGACTTTGTGGCCAGGGAGCTGCTGGAGGGAGCGGGCTGCGGCCGTCGCGTCAGGTGTGGCACCCGGTCAAAGCGTCACAAAGACTTACTAACGGTAAGCGGTGTTTGCGTTCATATTGTTGTGACCGCGAGGACCTTTTTATAGGTGTGGCCGGAAGATGAAAGGAGGCGGTGGTCAGAAGTGAGGGGAGTCGTAAGCGCGGATGGCTTGTTAAGGGTGGGCCACCAGGGTAGTGGCTGGGCTTGAGATCAACGCGCGAAACCCAGCGCGTCCATGGGCCACAAATTGCGTGACCGTGTTACATCACGCAGGGCCTTGCTTCTCCTTCCTTCCGCACTGAGCCTCCCGTCTGTCCTGCATTGCTTTCTGCCATGAGCAAAGCAGTCCATCAATCTACTTGTCGCCATACCTGCAGGCAAGATAGGTGCGTGTATACTTACCTCGTCTTGACCGACGTATGGCCGGACGGAGGCGGCTTTCTGGTGCCTGCGTCTCGATCCTCTAAGGATGTCACAGTTCTTTTAGCTGCCGTAGTGGAAGACCTGGTCATGAGTGGGTGTTCGGCAATTGCACGCAAGCGGAGACTCACGTTTCGCGACTGTTCGCATTCGTAACGGGACACCCTGGCCACCATACACGTCTCGAGCAGTGCCAACTGGCCGACGACCACCCGTTCCCGCATGTAATATGGCGGATCATTGGCACCGTCCCTCGTATGCCTAGTATCTGCTGATGAGCGTACACCAACGTCATAAGGCGGGAGACAGGGTATTCATCATGATG